GAACCGAGCCCTGGGGAACACCACTTGCGACATCTTAATCACTTGCCTCTTCCCGTCTCTCTTCAGCGGAAGGAACCTTAAGTTCTCGTGCTGTGTCATCCTTGGGATCAAACAAGTATATGTAATCCGAAGAGTAGCTAACAAGGATCTCTTGACCATCTTCACTATAACATAGAGATGTTACTCTACAGGATTTGTTATTCAGATGAGGAGGAACAAAACGTGCCACCATGCCAACGGTGCCCCTACCAGCATAATTCCCTATATTAAATACAAAAAAAAAAAAAAAAAAGGGGGGGGGGGGGGGGAAGAAGGAACAAATTTCCTATTGCAAATTTTCAACAGCTTCAATATACTCCTCCTTTAACATCCATCACAAGAAAAAACATCCAACAGAGAATAGCTAAGTATCCTGTAGCTTCTGCATTAAATTGGATCTGAATAGTAACATATCAGGTCTTATCAGTATTTTATATTTTTGTTTATAAACACTATGCATATTATAAAAAAAACCAAAACAACCACATGCAAATATATTCATATATCACATACCCATCACATGACATTGTGTGGATGGTATCTGTCAAATGTAGTACAAATGGAAATTTTGGAACCCAAGAACATTTACACAATAATAATGCAAATCCGTGTCCACACACAAATTAGAAAGCAATTCATTATATGAAACTTTGAAAATTTAGGACATACATCTTCTCTTTTCTACCCAAAATGTTTTAAAAAAATATTCATTTTTCTTTGAGACATAATAATACTGTCACTTTGAAACTGCAGAACTATACAACACACTGGATTTATCATGCTTCCCTGACAACTCACCTCCATTACACACACTAAAATAATCATAAATTCTAGAATTACAAGTTTGTGAACAGATAAAATTTACCTATAAGAAGATCTAATACTGAGAAAAACAGACTGTTCCAAAACCTCATAATTTGCCATGTAACTGTTTCCCGCATGGCATATCTGTTGTGGCTTATTATTGTGCAAATCTGTCCTTGACCACAGACAAATTCAGAGTTTATCATCTCACACTACATAAGGACTGAAACATAAAGTTTTAAAAGAAAATCAATAGTTTGCTCACTAGTCATAGAATATTTCACCTCTTAAAAAAAACCCAAAATATCAATCCAGAACCCCAAACCCCCCCCAAACAAACAACAGAATACTATACCAATATATTCAGAAAAATTACAATCTTCAAAATTTTGTCTTTTCTCTCATTTACTCTATAGGCTGGCATACCTGAATTAATCTTATTCCTGTATCGTTACAACACAAGAGCAGGTACATAGCACCTGTTAATCAACCCCCCCAGAATCTCTTCCTCGGGCAGTTGTCATAGAATTTTGCTGACTACTCTGATGAAAGGGAAAGATCTTATAAGAATGTTAGCCAGATGAGAGTTTATGTTTGTTAAGTTTGTTGAGTGATCTTTACTGTTTCCTCCATCACAATCATCAACTGGAAAATGCTGCAAGAAATGACAGATTTTGTGACACTGATAGCTGAGCATACATATTCATGCAAGTAATGTATATTAATTCATATATGAGCAAACAAACACTGATCATACATTGTAAGAAAGAGGTATGTTGGAACTACATAATGCTCTTTTGCTTGGCACCTGGAATTTTTTTTATAAAATCTTTAGGTAAGCTTCTAAAGCATGCTAGCTATCACTTGAAGAATTTGTAGCTTTTCAGTGAAATTATGTTAGATATAGCAACAGCTACTGCAAAGGTAAGCATATTGCGTGATATTATAGAGTTCATAAGATCCCTTCCCAAAAGCAGCAACACATTTCAGCACAGCAAAGTACAAGAAGATAAGAACTTAATTAAAATTCAGGTGGACCACTGCAGGCTGCAATCACTAGCTTTTTGGAATCTTGGAATCACATGATTCAAGCCAAAAGAAGAGACATTACTGAATGCAGAAAAAGGCATTTTGTATACAATGAATTCTAAGATGGATAAAGAGATTAAGTTTATTTAAAGATTTCTGTATTAGCAAATATTGGAGTAAAATGACTATTATTACAAAGCATTGTTCTCAGATAAGAAAGCTACATTACATTCAGTATTACACTCCAGTCGTTCACTGTCTATTTTGAAAAAAAGAATCTGAAACTAGAACTGCAAATGGTTAGAAAAGTTTACTGTAAGGTATGGTTCCTACCTGTTGCTCTTGTACCAAGCATTCGCCGGTCATATATTCTTACTGAGCTATCAGAACAACCCACAGCAAGATAGTATGGGATTGGTGGACAGATAGCAACAGAAGTGGCAGCACGCCGACAGTTTATTAAAATATCCTGGAACAAACAAAAAATACAGCATTCAAATAATAGCTCTGAACATTTGAAGTACAATTCTATTTTTTACTTCAGGACACAGGCTCATTAGTCAAGGAGGTTTTAAGAAAACTAGGTCTGGCCCTGTGAAGACAGATTGTATGTATGTCAAACAGAAAAGCCATAGCAGAGAAGGAAAACTATGAGAGAAAGAAATATAGTACAAGATCAACTAAGAAAGAAAATAAACAAACCAAAACAAACCACAGGAACAAACATTTAAGAACAGATAAGTGTAACAACTACAGATTTATAAACTAGTTTGCACCTTGGATTTTCCTATGGAAACATTGGTAACTGGTGAGTCAGAAAAGTACCAAATATGCAGAAACAGTCTAAATTAACTTAAAGGATCAGAATAGATTTCATCTACAGATAGACAATTGGATAGAGGAAAAGAAAGAAAGAAATCCCTAGAACTGGTAAATATGCATAAAGCAGTATAAAATTAATTCGAGAGTAGTAATACATACTTTGGTGCCAGTTTTTCTCCAATATTAAAACTGTTTCTGAAATACAAACACAGTGGACACCACCAATACCTTACCTTTGAGGGAGTAACACTAATGACTAATCTAATCTAGTATAATTCATTACCAAAACTTTTCTTACAGAGGGACAAAGGACGCTCAAGAACACAAGGCTGCAGATGATTTACAAGGCTCATTATTTGCCTCCAACTCTGCACTCTATAGTAACTAATGTAAACCAGACCAAGAGATTCAGTTTCAACATAGAATCTTTTCTACCATATCTGAAGCCTCACACCAAAGTTCATACACTAAAAAGTGTCAAAGGAGATACAAAAATAAATTAAATTTAAAAAAAAAAAGAAAAAAAAACTCCCCAAACTGTTTTTGTTTCTTGGGAAATATGTTGTCATCTCCACCAACGACCCTGAAACCTATTATTTCTAAAAGCCTTACCAGAATTCATATCCTATGTTTGTATGATGTACAGCTCTACATTTAGGTCATCTTTATTAAAAGATTTCACTCTTACATCTTTACAATCTTCCTTTGTGCAACTTGTTTTGATTCGAGTATCAAACCATCTTACAGTGCCATCTTCACCACAAGAGAGGAAAGTATAGGGATCATTTGGTACTGTCATAATCTGCTCAAGAAAAAAAAAGAAAAAAGTGTTAATACTTCCAGAAATACCATTAATTTGAAAATAAAAGCATCAACATTTTCAGCAGCAGTGAAGACTGAAGCAATTATGACTCAAGTCAAGCTTGCTATTGAAATAAAGAGGAAAACAGAAACACTGCTGATGTTTTTTAATTTTCAAGAAAAGGTTTGAACTGCTGAAGTTAGACTGTGGAATGTCACGTAAAATTAAATATTTATAAGTCAAAGCTTACAGTTATTTCTGTTATCTTTTAATTAAGCAACACATTTACTGCAATCAGTTTTCAGATAAGTAATCAATTTGCTGCAATAATTCAACAGAAGCTCAGTTTATTATCTATTAAGTAATAGAAGACAATAACAAACAAAACCCTCAGAAGTCTGAATGACATGAAAATACTAGATGGCTTTTATTCCCATTGGGCCATTCCTTTACATTCAAAAGTAGTCCCCTGAAGCAACGATGCATTAAAGGCTGTTACTAACCTAGGCCCTCAGTGCATTTTTTTCTTTTCACTTTTTGAGAGCGTACTGTAATGCACCATTTTCCTGACCTCAGCCCTACTCAAACTAGGGAAGACTCATCTGGAGTCTCAGAGGTATGGCTTCATTCAAGAAGGCCTCCTTAAGACAAAATGAAAAGGCAAGCAACTGTAATGGTAAAGCTGAATTCAGGCCAATGAACACACATGAAACATCATGTTTTCACACACTATCCCTTAAATACAAAAACAGAGAATACTGTAGAAACTAGCAGTATTTTTCTTCTTCTACACTACTGATACCAGCAACTTCATAGAAATTTATGAAAAAAAAAAAGAATCAATAATAGTGTAATACGCTAATTCAACACAGAGCAAATGAGTGATTCTTTAACACTCTTCATTTGATGATTAATTCTCCCCGCCTTTATTAAAAGTAACCTATGGATATCCGTAAATCTCTCTACCTAAAGTAGGATTACAAAGGTAATCTCTGCAGGATTCAGCATTTCTTCTTGTAATGCTCAATACATTAACTGAGACAATGTGTGCTGTGTCAAATCTTACTGCTGACAAACAAGATGTTTAACAGACAGAACAAAGCCAAGGTTTTAATAACAATGAAACAAACTTCTGAGCCATGTCTATTATTCCTCAATATATTAGTGTGACATTGAAAAGAGTGTTTTTCACTACTCATTCACTCAAATTAATTTTAGTGTAGTTATAAAAGCCAGCAATTTTTCTTCAATCTACTAAATCATTACAGCTCTTATTTCTAGTATCTGTATTTTATTTTTGTTCACACTGATACTATTTCACAATATACATGTAATAGTGCAGTACATAACTCCACTTGCACATGCCAATTTTTATGCATGGTGTTTAAAAACATACTAAGTACTTTATAAGCAGTAAAATAGAGAAATTGAGAAGTGCAGACTCCAGTAATTGAGTCATTATTACTCTAATTAAGTTCAACAAGTACACATTATATATATATATAAATCTAAAATCCTTTTTCTAGTACCTAAAAAAAATGTGTTCTATTTAACTTTAAATATATATACCTATATGATCATTTTACTGTATTGAAAATATGAAGGTAAGAGTTGTCCATAAAAGTACATTCTCTTTCTGAAATGCAATTAACATGAAGGGCATTAAAGAAAAGCATTTGGCTAAGTAAAAATAAATTTGTAATGGCCTTGTATAAATAACAAATTCTCCAGAAACATGTTTTAAGAACTTCTCTCTCCCTCTCTACTTATTCTATTCTCCCCCTGAATTAAAAACAATATTCTATTTATCTCACAGTTCACAATCTACACAAACTTCTACACTCCTCTGGTGTTTTTGTAACGTCTTGAACCATCACAAACCCCGAGTTTAAAGCACAGTATAAATACAAACCACATTCAAATTTAGAATTAGTACCTCAGGGGCAGATGATGTTAGCATTTGTTATTTAGAGAATCCAATGAGTCAAAGCTCTATATTTAATATGATGATGTGGTTACATACAGCTGGGCAGTAACGTCACAATATTTTGAAATTATTTTCCCACTCCAGAAACCTCTCAGTGACAAAGTTGTGTTATGTCTGAAACTGTACCTCAGCCATTTGCTTAAAAACCCCCGCTATTTACTCCATTATACTTTCATATGCCAAGGCTCAAAGAAAGGTCTACTCTGCCACAACAATACATGCACTTAATGTTCAAATAACAGGTATAAGACACAGTGACAGAATTTATAGCCTTTTTTATAAAAAGTACCTCCCAAAATGTTTTATAAACCTATCTTTTTGAAGACTTCTTGAACAGAGCTCAAAAACAGGAGCAAAACAGGCTAACAAAAAAAACTTCAAAAAGAGTCAGTTAAAATAGTCAATGTCATATAGGCATTTTGAGATTCCTTCCATTAACTGTGTTTAAAAACAGTATAAACCACCGAAACAGTATCACACTACTGTCATTCAAAACAACAATAATGCCCTCTTGTTAACATTATTTGCTGAATAAGCAAATCCCCAATACCACCATTTGATTGTGCAATATAGCAGTCAAATGTCCCTACTTTCTTCAACTAATTGTTTTGAAGATATTTACTATATTCCATTCAACTAGTTACTGTTCAGTTATAGTCATTGTATATGGACAACAATAAAACTTGCATCTTGATTTTCTAGACTGTTAGGGTCTCCATATTTCTTCTAAAATATTTTTCAAACTCTTACTGTCTGTTTTGACAAGCTTATTTTGTTGTACGTATCAAATTTATATTTATCATCTGGTTTAGTAGCTTGCAATGTGCATACCATCATTACTGATGACAAACACCTTGCAAAAAGACAACCAGCATCTCATGTTATAGGTTAGAGGTGTTATGTTCTAGCCTCCATTACTACTCTTGACCCACAAGCACAATTGGCAACTGTGTTCATTGAATTTTCCCAGTTTGATCATTGGTTTGCAGCACCGCCTGGTGTCAGTCACTTCATGTAATCAACAAAATTGTTGGTCAACCCAAGCTCAGGCAGATCAAAACTTAGGACCACCACAGTGATTGCTTATGGTGACTTTTATGCTGACACCACATGTTTAATTCGCAGTACTCTGAGCAGCCTAGCCCCTGACCCCAAACTTCACACACCCAAACTCACTGCTGTAATGATACTTCTACCACTACCTTCAATGTCTCCTCAGCATAGCATCCATAACAATTCTCCTGTTCTCAAGCTCAGAAATGTTTTCTATAATACTCACAGCTAGCTACCCATGAAACAGAGGTACCAGCTGAGCCAGTAACAGGCTGCTCCTCAAGCCTGCAGCCAGCCAGCAAGGGGAGGCTCTTATTTCCCCAGGAAGTCCAATGCAACGTCCTGACAGACCCTCTCCTCAATGAGGACATTTCCACTCTAAGAAATAGCATCTCGGTCTCCAGATGTTCTTATGAAAAGGCAGGTTTTATGTGAGATATAGAGCACATCCAATCAACTTGCAGAATCCACAGACTAGCATACCGACTACTATATATAGTAAACTTCAGTGAGAACTGAAGCAGTTTAAGTTTCTGACTGGGGGCCATAAGGACTGATGCCAGTCAAAGGAAACGGTAGTTTCTCAATCAAATCAAATCTCAAAAATAGAAGCAGATGATGCGAGTCTGGGATCCAGAATCATGTTTTGCAAAACTGAAGATACAGTCTTGTATTAAACCCAGGCAAAACAAAAACAAACTCAAAACCACAAATCCCAGAAACAGAGTGAATACCACAGGGTTTGCTTGATTGACCTACAAAGTTACCCTGCAGACAGGAAGTATTTTTGCCAAAACCTTTAATACAATACGTATAATTATAACCGCCAGGATACTTTTACTACATGAGCAAGAATTAATTTTGGCAGTACTTCATCCATTTTCTTTTCTCACACAACCTTTTCACACACCCCGATTTTTTTAACACAGATTTTTAAATATTTTGTTCACTTAACATACAAAGAAAGAGATTTAAAAGCTTGCTACAAAATCTGAGCTAAATAGTTAAAGAAGTAATGGACTTGGGACTTTTTTCCCCTTGTGTGTGTACTGCGGTAGCATTAAAAAAAAGTAATAAAAAACCTGGGACACTTATAATCTCAGAAGAAAATAGCAGTATTTTTTCTATCTTAGGCACAGTAAATTTTACAAGCAGCAGATTTTGCTGTCATTAAAGTTAAAAATATAAAAATAAAAATCAATAAATCTGATTATCTTTCTAACTTAAGAAACACATTGCTTCTTCACTCACCTATTTATATGAACAAAACATCCAAGAGAAGACTGAAAACCCTGGCTCTAAATTTACAGATAAAGAGTTATCTAGAATACAAAATATAGAAATTACCTAAAACTTTAAACACATTTTTCAGATTAAGTAATTCACACATGCTGAAATAAGCATTTCTTAGAAGGATTTAAATCGTGAAAAAGGCATTAAACTGCTGAAAAAGGGTGGGGGGAAGGAGGGATGGTAGAATAAAACCGCAAAAAATGAAAATGCAAAACATAGCCACTGCCCCCACCCCCCAACATGCTTCAGAAAGACATTCACAGCACAATTTAAATTAGTTTTGCTCTGCAGAGGATTCTTTCAGTGAAGGTGTATTCAGCCATTACATTTGCAAAGAAAGCAGTCTTAATGACACTACCTTTTGGAAAGTCCTCCGTTTAATTTAGACAACGGATTTCTCTTTTAAAGCCTACTCTAAAGAAAAAAAAAAACTCAAAAAAGCTAGAAGGAAGGTTCTTTATTTCTCATGGAAATAAGGCTTTCAGCAGTCTGGTTGAAATCTACAAGAAAATATGTATTCTACCTATCTTAAAATTATCATGTACTTTTGTGAGGTACCTCATAGGTAGTTCCATAGTGGCATGTATACTGGCATTGTCTGTTGGTCTCCACATCTTGTTCAACATTAGTGTAAAAAATTACTCCATCTCCGGAACAAGATACAATCTGTTTGTCATTGGTGCACGGTAAGAATTTTGCACTAAAAATATTGGCCCTGTGTCCTGAGCGAATGGTTGTTAAAACCTAAGGAAGAAAGAAAAAGGAAGGCTGTGTCAGGTTAATATTTTCAAAGCAAATAATGGGGAAAATAACACAGACTCTGGTACTATAAAACATCAGTTATGTCCAGGCTGACAGTAACCTACAGTTTAATACAGCAGAACAGAGAAGCTGTCTTTACACCAAATTTCTTCTAAAAACAAAGTGGTTCCACAAGAGACATTCACTTGTGCACCTGCACAAAGTAGTACACAAAATGAAAGGACTGGGATGCAACTGACACCTTTTGTTTTTAAAACGCTAGCTACATATCACATCTTGTTTCTCAAAGTAAAACATTAGTCCAGGGTGACAGTACAGCCAGCCAGCGTGTCAGTGAGGAGAGATTTAAATGATCTGGAATATTGTGGGTCAAGAAGAATAAGGCATTGTAACCCAAGCCAACTTCATAGGCTTTAAAAATTGATGCTACTCTTAAAATAAACTCACTTGAAAAAGGAGAACTGAAGTTTGTAAGAAAGGATGTCAGAAACAAGTCAAAAATAAACAAACAATTAAGAACATGATTACAGGGCAATAAACTCGGACTTGACTTACTCTCAATGAATGTTATTCATCTAGAGTACAGCAGAGAAGCATATAGTTTACTTCACCATCACAGTTGGTTTTCAAAAAACTTTGTGATGACTCTTTGTATTTCCTAACATACTTTTTATTAGTCTATCAAAACTGAAAAAACCCTCCATATGCTTTCCTGTGCACTAGTGAACATTCTATGCTTACCTTGTTTCTCCAATCTGCAGCATTTAAACCAAACTGCATTTTCACCACGAACAGGAAAAAGATACTTACCAAGCTGTTTACAGTATGAAAATTACTTCCCAATTTCCACTCAATTAACTTAATATAAAAAATATGCAAATGAAGTTGCTCTGTCATGATAGCTCATGCCTGATATTTCACAAGTGCTATTTCACATCTTTTAAACAATTCACACAAAAAAAGATTAACAGTGTATCTGCATATTCTGAAAGATACACAAAGCTTAGTATTTTAAAAGATAATATCAAAACCAGGAGATATAATCAATGCATTTTATTTCAATAAATCTGCCTCTTCATCTAGATTTGTTCAGATCTCTGTCTAGGTTTCGAATGTTTTCAGTAAAAAGTACTCAAAAGAAATCAGGAACTTGGTATCAAAGGAGCAACTCAGAACAAGAAGTCCATAAGGTACCCTAGTTCAGATGACAGTTAAATACGTCATCTGTCAATCCCACTTCTGATGTTACATTACTGCTGTGAAAGAAATACTTTTTAGTCCTGACAAAAAATCCTTTTTGATCTACCTAATTAAAAAAAAATATTTTAATATCTATATTTATAGATATAAAAAAATAAAAACAACTAGGGGCTTCTCTACCACCTTAGATTCTCTAGTCAGTTCTCCACCACTTCCTCCCTATTACTGAATATAAGCAGGCAGACCTTTCTCTCTTTGCTCTGCTGTACAGGGTCCTTCTCTCACCAACTTCCACGTGCTTCTTACTTGTCCCCTTTTTTTTCCACAAACACCAACCTAATACCCTTGCTTTTCACGCAGTCAATAGCTAACTTATTCTAACCTTCTGCTTCAGTTTTCCCCACCTGCAGATCTCAGTTTAGATGTGGAGATCTACATCTGATGATTGCCCTGAAACTTGGAAAAGCTCAAGTTTTTACTTTCCCTCCCTTCTTCTCTCCTCCACTATAAACTGAAACAGCATTGAGAAATACATACAGATACACATTTTCAGTAAATGAAAGAGTTTTCTCACAGGCAGAGCTAACCTTGTCTTGCCTGCCCCTCAATTTCCTGACCATGTTGCACAGTGTTACAATAAAAAGTATTAAAATACTACAGCATTTATTATATGGAGAAGATTTTACATGCCCTTCTTGACTTGCACTGTACATCCTTTTCTACTCTGGTTATTATACTGCCTTAGAGACGTGAGAAACAGGCATAAAAAGTTGCTGGTGCCAAGGCAGCAAGAAGATGAGAAAATATAACACACGCAACCAACCCCAAAACCGTATCATTAGCTACACAGAGTAAAACAATACCACCACCTTACTCCACTGGAGCATTTTACTACCAACATGTAACAGGCTACAAATACTTAATGGTGGAGAAAGGAGGGGGAGGGAGGCAGCCAAAGAATTTCAGATGTTCTTCAAAGTACTTGACTAGCTGTAGTAATTCAGACATCTTTATAACTTTTGCAGTTGCTTAAGTAACACATTACACAGGAAATCAATTGAAGAGGCAACAAATTCAAGAATTCAAGTTGCAGCTCTTAAAAGTGCAGATTAAACCTTTGGGACAGGATTACTAATTCATGTAGTGATCCCAGAAGCTTGCATACAACTCCATCCCTAACAATAAGTACTTTCCTCCAAGAAATTAGAATTGCTGGCAGCTACTCTGTTGTTGTCTTTAAACCTGAAATGTTTAAGCTCTTTATCCAAATGGAAACTCTTTACAATAAAAAGTCACCATAATGAACAAACTAGCATTTTTAAAGTCAGATTAAAAACTAAAACCAGTTTAAAAAAGCAGTTTATTTCCACTCTGGCTTACTTTTTGAAAAGAAGCCTGTTGAAACAAATGCAAGTCAAATACCAGTGGGTTACTAAGCTTTTCAGGATGTAATTAATTTAGGGTTCCCATTCAAGATACTCAGCACAGAATCATTTACAATCCAGCCTTTTCAAGAGCACTTCCTTTGAAGAGATCAAACCCCCTTTAGAAGTAAAGGAAAGCAAACCAATGGAATCCCATCCTGAAGTGAAAAGCTGTAAACTTTCAGCCCCACTAAGCACCCTCCAAAGCCTCCCCAGCACTTTCTCACGAGCGGAACACTCAGAAGGCAAACCAGGCTAAAGATTCAAAAATTCTGAGTGTAACTACTCATAAGAATCCTGTATTCGCAGTGGTATTAGTGGAGAGAAGTCTCAGGCTCCATTTAAAGGCTTTGAAATCTGAGTGCTCAACCTGATGTAAATACATGAATCCCCATCTTTTTGTACCATACTTGTAGCAGGTAGACCTTTAGCTCCAGCCAAGCTCTCCCCACCCCCAGTAATGTGATGTCTAAAACAAATAAAATTAGGAAGAAAAGATCCACAAGAATAATTCTTCTCAGCCATCCCCAAGTACAATAAAATGCTCATCCTTTTGATTTAGGCTTGCAATTACTATTAGAAATCACAGTAACACATTTCTCCTCAGATGCACAAATACAATAAACATATAACCTATTCAAACTCGAGAAACATATTTAGAAAAATTTCTCCTTCTGAGACACATTACATAGTAACAATTAACATTTGCACCTGGCCATACATAACACAAACTGGAGTGATTTACAAAAAGCTCATGTAAATAAAAGTTAAACAAAATTAAATGCTTCCTTATTAAATTAGATATTACTAACACAGCAGACTATATTGATGGCTGAAGTCTCTTTTTGTACTCTGGCTAGCTCATAAGAGAAAATACGGTGATAAGGGTATCTGCCAAGATGACAAAATTACAGTAGAGTTCTGGTACCAATACCAATTTGCTCCCTTTTCCTGTATCGATCCTGTTACTCACACCAGAGAAAATAAGCTAATACAATTCTAACAGTCATTAAAAATCATATCTCTAGTACATTTCAGGAACAACAGTGATTATTAAGTCTTCTTTCTAGTACCTGCTGTGTTATAATTAAATTAGGGGGGGAGAGGGGGGCGGGAAATCATCTGCTCTGCTGTTTCATAAAAAAAAAAAACCAAAACTGTTTTTTAACAGCTGACTGTTAAAAATAAGAAAACAAAACATCTCATGAATTTCTCATTTGTCTTATGTGCACAATGGGGAAAAATACCCAAAATCATCTCATGAAAGCATAAAGTTTAAATTGCTGCCTCTATTAAAATACTATAGTATTTTAATAGAATAATTATATAATAAAATGAAATAGCAACTATCCCAGAGTGATACATTAAAATAAACTCTGCACAATAAATAATATTGAACACCCTTTACTTGCATGAAAATTTTTTTACTTTGCAAACCTCTCCAAAAACACTCACTTTGGAATATATCCTTCATCCATTTCACAGCTGCCTGAGATACCTCCTCTTCTTCAGCTGAGCTCCCAACCCAAGAGAAACCCTGGTCTAACGACACTGATCTGAACTTTGTCAGACTGACACCAATAGTTGAAAGGAAGAGACTGACATTTGGAAGCTATGGCTCATTTGGGGAAGTGAGGAAAAGGGCCTTACCTATAAGCACAGGCAAATTGCCAGATCACTATTATTTTCCCAGCAGAGCTCTTCAGGAAGGCAAAATATTGCTGCCGCCATAGCCTTCTATTCAAACTCTCTTCCACTACACTGACCATGCATCTTGGTTCCCCCACCACATTTAATTTTTCAGCACCTCTTCAGGGTTTAGTTCTCAACTTCTGAGAAAGCGTGGGAGGACTTCACTTGAGCACTACTGCACAGGGTTCCTAGCACTGAAGAACACATTCAGAGCATCTGTTCTATGAAACCATCAGCAGCTCCTTAAAGAGCAAAGAGCGGAACACTGCTACTGCATGATGGATGCTAGCTGACATTACTGGAAGCCATTTGCCTGCATCATAACCCGTGTGAGTGCAGAAGTGGAAAAGCAGAGACCTTTACAGCACTTTCCCCTTCACAAATCTGCTTCCCCTATTTCCGTATAAATTCTTCTCCATCCACATACATGCACACACAAGGCAATTTAATTTCAAATGGTAAAAGTATTTTAATCAAGATTGACACTTTAACAACATTACACAGAAAGCAACCCAGTGTATTACATACAGAAAAACCTAATATTTTAAAAGTAAAATGAAACAGAAAACAATTCATCTGACAATAAAATTTCACAGGAATTACTGAATCCTATTGCTAATTCTGACAGTAATCTATCGTGAGACCATGTTCCTTTTGTGCCAGACCACTTACCGTAAAATGGGATAATACCTATATGTCACAAGGGATTAGAATACTTGGGTTTTAAAGTAGTGTGAAGTTTTATTCCCATTTATAAACACTATAAAGTTCCTGGTATTATCTTTGTCAGATAATAATTAGTACCTGAAAAATAGTAACTTGAAAAAATATCTTAGTAACCTGAAAGATAACAACTTAAATCTTAATTGAAAACTTCTGAGTATCCAGAAACAAACCTACCTTTCTGCTGTAAGGATTACTAATCACCAGATTGGTGTCATCTGAACCAGATAAAATATATTCTCCTGTATCATTCCAGCAAATTGTATTCACCTGCATGAATTAACAAAAATTAGTTTAGACTTACATTAATTCAATTTTCACAATATTAAAACATCAATACTCATCCAACACTACCAAAATAGGAGTTAACAAATTCAATGGAAATGACGTAAAGTCTAAGCAGCTAGCACAAAAAAAAAAAAAGTGTTTTAAAAAACAGATTGATAAGGGGATCACCTGCTTCACCTATGGCACCTCAACTACTCCCCTTCCTCCTAACAAGTCCATCAGGTAAATTAAGCCTTCCCACAAAGGCCTCAGTAGCCACAATTTTACACGTTCAGATGCTTTAATGTACCAAATCTACTCCACAGAGTTCTCCAAATTTGAACTGGAGGGCATCACAATGCTCTCATTATTGTATCTTCACCATATCCAAATTCTGAGAATCCATTGCTTTGTGTACTTTTCAGTGACCACACCTTCTCAGGGATCATGTCAAAAGCACTGCAGAATCCATCCCTTTTGAGAAGTGTGAGCATGCTGGGAAAGAAGAATCCTAGTGAGGTACAGAATTGTATCAGCAGAACTTTACAATATATTTCCTTATCAATTCTCCTTTTCACAAGCCTGTTTAATAATGCGTCAATGTAAGAAAGCTGTAAAAGCACTCAAAATCCAGGAAGCTCAGAAAGTATCTTTAGAATAATCTGTTTTCAAGCAGCAGCTCATGCACAAGCACCAAAGACTGCACTCATGACCATTATTATTTCAAGTAGCCTCTAAAATAGCTTTAAGCGTCAAACTGGAGCCATCAACATCTTCTGCTGGCTATATTCTGTTGGCAGAATAACTGCCTTAGTGTGAGGTATCAGAGCTTCTTACTATATAATTAGTAAAAAACCCCCACTTCATTCCAAATCCTTTTCTTATGCCTATTTTTAATTCACGTGTCATTCTGAGCCCAAAAGACAAAAATCTTTTTGTTTAAAGTAAAAACATACCCATTTTTAGTTATTACTTTAACACAAGCTTAATTGGTGTCCTTAATTAGGCAAAGCTGCAAAATCAGAATTAGCTGTTTCAGAAGGATCATATGGGCAACAACTTGACATATTCATTGAGGAGCTTTAAATGAACTTTTGCCACTCAAAACAAAAATTAAGAAAAGAGATCTTTGTGTTACAACAGACATGCCTATGGCAAGAGTTAGCTCAATGCTCAGCAGCAGTCAAACAATGTTAGGAATCATTAGGAAATGCACAGAAAAGCAAACATCATTCTGTCAGTGTATACATCCATGCATGGCAAATCTGTGTCTTCCACACTATGCAGTTTTGGTTCATATCACACTCCCGTATTCTCCATTTCTATGACTATCCATTTGAAAAGAGAAATTATGAAAAAGAGTGACTAGGGTGATCACAGGTATCTAACACTTTGTATTGCAAGAAGCAATTAATTTGTACTACTCTGGGGAGGGGTTAGGGGTTATGAGAGAAGCTTATAGAATCATGAATGGCATAGAAGAAGAAAGAATTTTCTGTGATCTTTACAGTACAGGAGATGGAAGGCCTTCAATGAAACCATCTCATGACACATATGGCATTTTATTAAAACTGGAATTCACTGCTATGGAGTGTCCTAAACACCAAAAGTGGAAGAATACGTGTATTCATCCAAGAAAAATGATCAAAAACAAAGATGCAATTTTCACCTCCATCTGTCCATTTAAGTGTGATGTGTTCCCTAGAATACCCTTCAAGTATTGTCTGCTTGCCCTGTCTCAAATTTCCTCAAAAATCGGTGCTGGCCACTCTCAGGCTCGACTGAGCATTGGTATGACCTTGCACGGCTACTCTTATGATTTTGTAACTCTGGCTGTTAATCACCAAGAAACATGCCTTCAACTAGCCTCCAGATCCAACTATCATTGAAGTAACCTGTCCTGACAATGACTGTAATTTAAAAATGTTGTCAAACATAGCACAGTACTACAGCTAGGGCAAACACAAAACCCAAGAATGTTCATTTTCATCTAAATTTCATTTCAGGCAGAAAAATACTATCATTGCCCTAAAGAAACCAAAATGCTAATACAAGGATATAAGAATAGAAACAAGAACAAAACAATGAAAAAACAAAGCTGCCAAAAAAATAAAAAAAACATGATGTGAGAAAGAAGAGCTAGCACAAAAATTAAACAAATTGGGGGGGAGGGAGGGCGTCCAAAAACAAAATCTGAAGAACTTTGTTTTTCTCTCTTGCAGAGAAAGCATCGAAGATACAAAGGGGAGACATGATTATCTAAATTGCAGCGTCGCAAGCCTACACAAGACATCAATCATTCTCCTTCTAAATTCTGATTTTATTGCACTGATTGCCTCAGGGTTGAACAACTTCAATACAACATACCCAGGCCAAAGTTTGTTCACAAAAAATCCTGAAGTAAGATGACATAACCAAATGTGTCCTAGAGGTCTGTAACTAGACAGGTTTTTTATTCTGTACCAGATCACCTTCTCAACATTATAGTGAAAAAAATAAGTAAAAAACCAAAGTCTTTCAGTGGAATAAGCTTGATTTCCACTCCCCCCTCCCCGCCCCGAACACCAACTATCCAGTAAGTGATCAGTCAATACACTACATTTCTGTGTTCAGGTAAACCTATTGACCAATAGTGAATAACCCCAATAAATATGCATATGGATCACTAAAAATAGATGCCTGATAAGAGGCATATTAAAAAAAGTTCTCATGTCTCATTCCATCGTAGCAAACCCACTATTAAAATACACTGTAAAATGAGGACTAACTAGAAAATTGCTTTGTATTTCAAAAACATGTAGAAAAGCTATGCATCTACTACCTTCACAGCCACTCAACATGCAACTAAAAGCATAATGCAACAGTTACTACACTAAGGGTTTGAAATTCTTGGAAAAATGTTAGAGCCAAAAGAGAGGAAAAGAACAGATATTAATTACCAACCAGATGAGAAAAGTCAAAGGGTGTGTAATTAGCTTTTTTCTATTAAGTATTCCACATTATCAACAGTATCTGATTTTATTTGCCTCTCAACTAGTCCTAAAGGAAGCAGCAGGCACTTCTGATTCATTAGTCAAATAGTCAAAAATAAATTTACTATCTCTGTGTTTCCCTCAAAGACAATGCAGGAGGCATTGTCTTTAAATCCTTTAAAAACTGAAAGAGCAAACTCCTCACTTCTATGCAGTGTTAACAGTAGAATTAATTCTTTTGTGAACAGGATAGATTAACATAATACAAGAAATGGAGGAAAGGAAATAAAAATTACTCTAGACATCCAGAATATCAGAAAAATCTCCCAAGGAAGGAAAGGGGTGAAAAAGGCACCACTTTTCATCTATGGAGGAAAAGGTAAAAACAGCATGTTCGAACAATATGCAAACAAACTTCCTACACTAATTTAAGCACAGCTGCGAGGACTACATCTAAAAATGACTTGCTCACATGTGCCATCTCTGAAAGAGATATATGCCACGCAGGATGCTTGTTTGTTACTGAACTGAATGTCTATACATAGAAATGAGAAATTATTCCTCCAGGTAATCCTCTTTCCTTTATTTTAAAAACATAGTATTTGCTCATGTTAAAGGCTCCATCTGCCTATGCATGCTGCAGTTCTACCTTTCTTAGCTTTCATGGGACCAGAACTGGAAGAAAATAAGTTACATTTTTACTCCAATTCAATACGGTTTAAAGTCGCTTTCTCCTCTACTTTCTTCACACTTCAGCACTGCTGGTCCAAATTTATTCCCTTTCAACATTTCTGCTTTGGATTTAGTCACTTCATACAGATAGTATCTGTCCTGGTTTCAGCTGGGACAGAGCTAATTTTCTTCTTAGAAGCTAGTGTGAGGCTGTGTTTTGGATTTGGGATGAAAAAGTGCTGATGTTTTGGGTTGTGGCTAAGCTGTCAAGGACAGTCCAGCTTCTCATGCTGGCCTGTCAGCGAGCAGGCTGGGGGTGCATGAGAAGCTGGGAGGGGACACAGCCGGGACAGCTGGCCCAGGCTGGCCAAAGGGATATTCCATACCATACAATGTCATCCTCAGTATATAAAGCTGAGGCGAAGAAGGAGGAAGGGGTGGGGGGGACATTTGGAGTGATGGCATCTGTCTTCCCAAGAAACCATTACGTGTGACAGAGCTCTGCTTCCCTGGAGATGGCTGAACACCTGCCTGCCCATGGGGAGTAGTGAATGAATTCTTTGTTTTGCTCTGCTTGCCTGGCTTTTTCTTTACTTATTAAACTCTCTTTATCTCAACCCATGAGTTTTCTCACTTTTACTCTTCCGACTCTCTTCCCCGTCCCACCGCGTACCGAGCAAGTGGCTGCATTGGGCTCCGTTGCTGGCTGAGGTTAAACCACGACAGCATCTTGCCTAACTCTATACATTTTCTCATCACCTTAAGTTCCCTTTAGAGTTAACACGGAAAATGGCAACTCATGGAATACACACAACCTCACTGAACTGGACAATGTAAATCTTGTTGAAAGAGGCAAATCACGCTCTGGAAGGATATTAAGATTTCAAGCAGACATCAATGATTCGGTAGACTAATTCAATTACTTCACATACTACTGCTAGAAACTCTGTCTTCAAACAAAGTGCAAAATTGGACTATTTCAGAGACAACGGTACCTAAACTGAGATGAAAATACTTTATCACAAACAAAAAGCTGCTATGGTAATATTACTGCTACAAGAGCATGTATATTTGAAGTAATTCATTCAGAACTATTCCCTTCTTCAAAGATACTGTACCTGAGTGTGATTATACATAGAGTCATACTTCCCACAGGATCTCTTTTTTGTGTAACAGATCAAATGGTAGGTAGGAAGTTTGACTTTACTTTTATCCTCAATTAGAAAAAAAAATTCTTGCCTTAGGTATGTTGTCCATCGTGTCCAATTATACAGCAGGCATATGGAAAACACAAGTCACAACTTATTCCATAGGAGAACGCAAATGTTCTTAACCTAAAAAAGACGCAAAAAACCCAACCAAAAAAACAAAAACCACCCCCACCCTCCAAAAAAACCAAATCCAGAAACACCCTTAAGACAACTACGTCATTAATTCCTCACATTTTAAATGCATGCTGATTCAGCAATTGGCGGGGCAGGGGGGAAGTCTAATGTGATAATTTACCATTGATCATATAAGCATTTTAATCAGTAGGGGCATTGTAATTTCATTTACTTCTATTTCACAGATTTTTTTTTTTTTTAAAGCAAGCGGCAAGAAATTATACTGAACGGTTGTTAGCCATAAAAGACTATTCCCTGCAAAACAAATAGTAAATGAGGTAAGAACTCCTAATACCCCATTCTCTAAAGGTGGATAGTTCTGAGCAAATTTAATTTCTAAGGACATTTTTCAGATTGTAGCAGTATTTTAAACATCTGCATATAATGCTGTAAGTTCACAATTAAAACATTTTCCACACAGTCAAACAATTAAGTTAGGCCACATGTTAAAGCATACTTTAAAAGCTAACACAATTAATTCAAAATTAATTTTCAAATACATATCCCACCAGATAGATCCAAGCAACAGCAAATAGCCAACACTAAATTTGCAATTTCTGTTACATGACACAGAGGTAGTAAACTAAAATAGAGATCAGGCACTCCATTTAGTAGTGAAGAAATACTATTTTCCTGTTCCCTCTGTTATAGGTAAAAATGACTATTTTTACAAGAAAACAAAGAAAAAAAAATAATTTAAAAATCTCAACCAACTTCAGAAAAAGAAACTTGAAAAATGTCTTCTAAAGTATATTTGACAAGATAAAAAACTACTAGAAAAGAAATTCTAGAGTAAAAATCACTGTTACAATCTTGAATACAAAAACTGATAAATAACTTTCTACACAGAAAATCATAGAATGGTTTGGGTTGGAAAAGACCTTACATTATTATTATTATTACAACATTTCTTGGGAAGGAAAAAAAAAAAAGGAAATTAATGCATTTGTTTTTTTTAAGTCACCACCATCTGTGCCAGAACATTAAACTTGAAATGGCAATCAGTACAGCACCAGTAGCTGACTTCTTATATACAGCAGTTCTAATCCTTGCCTTTCCCAGCCCTTCTAGTCTCTCAAAAATATACGCAAGTCAAAATCATACTTCTGATCTCAAGCCAAAAGGCTAGATGTCAGCTAATGATTATAACACTCCTTGATTTAAAGATACAAGTGTAAGCAACTCAAGATATAGAAAATCTTTACATTTGAACCACTTTTGAAATAAACATGTTAAAGTATAAAATTTACACTTACGTTTTCACTTTTTATAACACATCTAGAAGCCTTTCACTTTTCAGATATCTTGTACAACACAGACAATGCTTTAAAAATCATGAATTTCTCCTCTGTTTGTCAAAGGTAATATGTCAATCTCTTTGCCCTGTATCTAATTAAAGTCAAATCTTTTAAATAAAAGATTGACTTAAAATATTTGGACCACTTTCAAAAATTAAGTATTTAAATAAGCAATATTTCAAGTTATGTTATTGCCTTTCAGGGGAGGCTTATTTTTGTTTTTATTGTCTCTATAGTAAGCACGTAGCACTTGCTCATCTGCTTTTTAGACTTGGAGAATAAATCATTCAAAACACTAATACAGCTTTAAATCAACAAAGTATATCAACACAGCGCAAAACTACTAAAGATTCCATTGAAAGATTTAAGATGAGTTCTAACTGAAAACATAAGCATGTGTTTTCCTGACATAGGAGATTAATTCATTCAGCAGTGGGATGCAGTATTAAGGTAGAGGAATGGGATTTTGTTTTGCTTCAAAGGTACACTGTCAGATGTTTAAGAAGAAACAAATACCTAGAGAATTCAGATGTAGGTCTCAACAAGTGGAGTTTTCCAGCTCAGCTTTAATATATGGTATTTGCATTTTTAAGTTAAAGAACTATTACCATGACAACAAAAATCACAATTTAATATCTTTTAACAAACAAAAAAGCAACAAGTGACTTACACATCCATCATGCACATTCAAGGTTGCTTCAAGTTTTAATCTTTGGATAAATTCTCTTCTCCCTGTGAAGAAAAATACTAATTACATACTCTTTTAAAACAATAACACTGAAGAAGTGATTAAGACTCTACTAATGGGCATTAACAGGTAAAAACCTAAACAATAAAGAACCAGAATATAAATAAAAATCTTGAAACAATTCATATGGTTCTCATTTTACAAATGCTAAGACAAGCATCACATTTGCTATCTCTTCCATCACCTTTAATAACAGTGCAGAAACAGCAAAAATGAACATTTCACAGGTTCATAGGCTAATGCTTCCTCTAAACCTAATAGCTATAAGGCAGAAAATAACCCTGTGGTTATTTGATTAACTTGGCTGAAAGACTGCAAGTATAACACAGTTCGAGAAGTATGACCTTTTCTATAGGAATATAAAGAAGAACGTGCCTAGGTCTCAAGCAGAAAGTAAAACATAGTCTCATAATTTCAGCAAAGAACTGGAAGTTGATCTTCCAAGCATTATCTACAACTCTACATCTCCTCTTAAACTAGAGAAAACTACAATTTGGCTATTAATATTGCATTTTGAAAAGTTACACTGAAGTCCAGTACCATTCCATTTGATATATACTTAAGGGATAAAGCACAAAGGGAACTGCTGGAAGGGTGACATGAAAGGATGAGATGAAGGAGAATGAAGAAATCTATAAATGCATATTGAGTAAGGCAAAAGCCCAGAAACTTTGTCTTCATTCCCTATATACAAGCTGACCTACCACTGCGCTTAAAAACACTACTATACTATCCACATGAAGTGGGGAAAATAAAGTATATTGAAAACAATGTAGTCTCTTCTGAACTAGATGTTTAAACAAATAGCTCTAACTTTCATTTAATTTAGTGCCCCCGTTTTATGAAAACAGGTAATAATGAACCTAATAATCTCCAGAAAAAAAAACTTTCAGAAAAGACAAATACTGATAAACCTAATCTTTTTACTTAAATCCTAAAAGGACTTAAAGTCAAGGACCACTATAATTTTGTCCTGTGTTTGTAGAACTCGCAAAGTAGAACTCTCAGAACGAAATCCCAGGTAAGAGCATTAGACTGTAGGCCTGTGTTAGGCTGCACTATTTTCAAATAGGAAACCTATCGAATTCACTCAAAATTAATCTTCCTGCCTTCCTTCGAGGAAACTACAGAGTCAGGGAAAGAACAACTGCAACAGAACCCTCTCCACATCTGAAAATCCTACATTTCTGAACTTGTTTTGGTTCAGCTCAAGACAGAACCATTTCAGAGCCCAGTATTGCCTCTGGCACTGTAGCACAAATTTGGAAAAGTAATTTCTCCTCTCTCCACGTGTTTCCTCTTAATGCCTTTTATTTGTCCCATATACTCTCCAGAACTGAAAAAGAACACTTGATACCCTTACTGGGTCCCTCACAATCACAGACTGCCACAGCATGACCATCTGACTGAGAAGCAGGCACTGAGCATTCCTGCTTCCCTGCCACACTCCCTCAAAGGCCAGGAAACCCTTCAAGCAGTACGAGCTCCTGCAGGTACACCTGTGCCTCATTCAATGTTCGTACAGCTTTCCCTCCATCAAAAGGTATGTTTTGGTACCTAGTTTTTGTTGGAACTAGAAGTCACCTCCAAAATTCAAAATCGTTCATAACCGAGCTCAAGTACTACATTAGATAAAGATCATATCTTGCAAAATATTTCTTCTTTTTTAAGATGAGGTACTGACTGGGTGAAATGGTTATTAAGTGCTTGCTTTTAAAACATGCCTAAGCTAGCTTTAAAAAGATAAACACCATACTCTCTTATGCCCCATTTTACAGACATTGAAATTGTGACGTCTCAGAAGTGCTTAATTTCTGTTAACCAGGAATAGCCATCATTAGAGAGAGATTAAAATAAAAAACTTAATCTTACGCACCACTACCAGCAAGAACATACGTATTCTTGAATTGGGAATACATCTACCTAGTTCACTATTCTTTCTTTACTGCTGTTCCTTATTCACTTTTTCCTCTAGAGAAAGGGACTTTGAACTTAGGTCCTTAATGGTTGGTTTATTGTACTTCTCAATTAAATCCTATTACTTTTTTCAAATCACTGAACAATACATGTATTTTCAATGAAGAGTGTTATTTTCAGATTAATTTGATTTCTACAACACTTGCTTGTAAGCAAATCTGAATACCAAGGTGGGAAATATCACCTGCTGTATGCTTATATATAACTTTGCATAATAGAAACCTAACAATTTGCTTCTAGAGTGCTACTGTAATGCAAAATACAGCACAGTAATACATGGCCCCAAACAGCATAACTTCACTAAGAAGGGTATACTCCGCAGGCCAACATAAAAATCTAGTGTTTGCCAGTCCCATCACATTTTCACTTGCAGCAGCACAGAAAAGTCACATAGCAGTGGATGATTCTTGGGCATTGCACTATATGCATATTACACATCTGGAAGTGAGGTGATATCCACAGAACAACATTCAGGCACTTGCTGGGAATCCTGTGTACAGAAACACTGAAGGAGATTAATTCATTTTTAAACAGGCCGGGCAACAGTTTTTCTTCCTTCCCATATGGTCTGGTTTTAATTCAAATCACTTAAATCAGCAAGTAAGAAATAGTAAATGTGTTCTAATCACATCTCCAATTGCAATTTTTATTTCCTTAGAGAAGTCTGTTGACAAAATTAGGTATGAGCTGACTTGTTGTTGTTGTTAGATTAGGATTTTTTGGTCTTAAGACCGCAGTAGCTATACAAGTTTCAGTAAATGTTTAACTTCAGATACAGACATACAGTGTCTCAAACACATACACTCTCCCATTTAAAACATTAAAAAAACCTAGGATTGCACATGCTAGCATATGTGATTTGTTATATATGTGATTAGTTATTTATCATGTGATCACTAAATATCTAAATATTGATCTGAGGGAGTAATTAAATACAAGCAAAACTACAACACTTAAACAGTTTCCTTATTCCTTCAAGTAAAAAAGGGGCAAGGCAGAAAACAGTTAAAATGTTTTACCTCTAAAAACCTTCCTATTTGATAAAGTACTAAACACAGTAAGACAAGTGAATGGATTGTTTCTAGTTTATCTTATCATATCAAAACTAGAACCACATAGATCCTGAATGTTATTCTAAAATAAAAAACAGAACTACTTGAATAAACTGATCTGAAGAAAACACTGTCTCTGCATTTGCTGCTGTTAAAAGCTGAGTAAAGGCAGTCAATCTGTGTTCCTTGTACTTCAGCAGTGACTTTCACAAGTTCATTGATTTGATAAAAAAAGCTCAGCAGTCAGTTCTAGAGGTTTCTGATACTGAAGTCACTTGAATATTTTTGTCACTTTCCAGTTTTTATCACATTTAAAAATGTAAAACACAATACTGTTTATCTGCTTTATTAGTAGGCTTTTCCCTTCTCCTTTTTTTACTCTTCAGGTGCATCACAGCTCTTATTGCTAGACATTCTAACAGTCAAAATCTCCACATCAAGAACTCTGCTCTCCCAGATGACAAGAATCTTCACAATCCTTAATTCTCATTCATCTAATCCAATGGCTACCTGTTCCCTCCACCTTCCAACGACAGCAGCCCTCCCAGCTCTCCCTTCAGCTAAAATGATGGAGAAGACCCGGGCTTTTGAAAAAACCCCATAAAGTACTTTTTTTCTTATAGAATCAGCATCAAGACCTCTGTCAAGTTCTGTTTTTTGCCCCACCTAATACTGTGTACAGGCTCTGTAAGAGCCAGAAACTCTTTCTTCTTCCCCTTAGCTATGTGCCACCAGAAATGGAATAATTAAATTCTGTGAGGATGCTTCAATATATCATTTCTTATACTCAAATAAGGCCTGTTTAAGAGAGGGATCAAGTGATCAAGCTGTCACCACCAAAATCATGTCACTGGACAGTGGATCATATGTGACGTTTGCTTTGAAACCACGACGGTGAAACTATCAACAAGACTAAAATAAAGCAAAACAAAAAAGCACTGTTAAATTTCAAATGGCAATGATGACCTCCTTATGAAGTGTTTACATAGCTGAAATTTGGAAAGCTATCAAGCTAATGCTCCACTCACCCATTTTCACTAGACATTATGCACTAACCAAAGCCTCAAGGTACAGTGCCACTCTCACTAGAACGATCAATAAGATCTTCAGGTTTTACCCATCTGCCCATTTTCACCGAACATTACGTGCTACTGAAGCCTCAAGGTACGGTGCCACCCTCAGTACACTGATCAATAATTTTTTTTAGTTTCTATTAAGCTAGAGACTAGAGTACAATTTCCAAGGCCATATTCTACATATGGAAGAAGCACCACTTTGAGTCATTGATAATATGAATTTAAATTTGGTAAAGTGGGCAAAAGAGAAACTGCAGCTGTTTCCTTGTAATTTATTTCTTCAAAATGTTCCACTGCACACAATGTCAAATTGAACACCTTGCCACTCCCCTCTGGGGAATTACCCAACTTTGGTGTTTTGGGGCACGTATACACAGCTCTAATCTCACTTCAGGGAGCAATACCAAAATACCACAATGTCCCTTGTATTCCTCACTCACAGCAGTTATGACACCATTTAGGTCACAATCCTCAGTTTAGGAATTGCTGGTCAGGTGCTTTCTACATGGCTATTTTGGCAGAGGTACACATGCCTTTCTTTTGTAAGCAACTTAGTCAATGTTACTTCAGAACTGATGACAGCAGTGAAGTTTAATGCTTTAAGCATGTAAAAACTTCATATATTTAAAACTGTACTCCAGAATTTCCCATTAATGAAGGTCTAACTTTAAAGTACCTTTGTTCTCTACAGAAATATAACTAAACTTTGATCCAAAGCAGCACCACCATGGTATGAGACATTAAAAAGACAACCCTTATTCAGAAAACCAGTAATAGATCCTGTTTGTCAAATGAACACTCATTTATGTCAAGCAGGCTCTTTCCAAGGCCAAGTCCCTCAGCGCTGGCTTGCTGTGACATTTGGAATGCCCTAGTTTAAAACTGAAACAGAGCCAGCATCTGTTCCCAATGCAGAGCACATGTTATCTTGCACTCTAAGCGCATTTAAAAAAATACTCTTGATTTTCCAGGGTAGAGTTTATGTATTTTTGAAGCCATTCCATGAAAAGATGGCAAGTCCAGTTCATTTCTATATATGTTATTTTGCTGGATTGACTACATCAAACTCTGCATGTGATCCAGTATAACTTTCAATCCATGTCTCAACACACTTTTTCCAGCAACCAGAATTTTCCATATACCATACAGTAAAAACAGGACTATATATAATATGCACTGAATTAACTTTCATCAAGGTATGCTAAAATTCTTGAAGATTAATTAAAATCTTAAAAAACATGTATTACCTACATAGACTGACAGTGGCCCCATTTTATAGTCACTGAAACTGTGACAGAGGAAACTGAAGCAATTTATCAGAGAGAGTGAATCAGCAGTACTGCCAGAAACCAAATCCACTGGTGTGACCTCCAGTCTTTTGATCAAGGCCCTGCATTATATTTCCCTACTGTTTTGTACTACTGTATAAATGCCAAAAAATGGTAACTCTGGGTTCTGTCAATGTTTAAAAGATTACCTTTCAAGTTACTATGAACAACTGCTTCATTATGGTTTAAGTTCAAAACAGATAACCCAAATTCTTCTCTGCTCTTAATGATACCTCATCAAACCTGAAGGTTTGAACATCCATGACTGATAAGGCATTTGAGCTTTAAACCAATGTGTTTAATTGCTATTGGATATTAATCACGCTTTATGTACCAAGTATCTTTCAAGCATAAAACTCAATTGTATTAATAACAATTTTTAAGGCATTCTCAGTGGCAAAAATGTGGCACGAAGTACAAGTATCTGTCTTGGAGAAGGCATTCTATCAGTGTATTCTAACTACTAGTTTTTGAGTGTACTACACTGACTAGTACTAAGTGGATTTCATTCACAATAACACCATATTCTGACAGCTATCCTGTCCCCACTTACAGTGCTCATAGTAAAGTCCTCTGTATTGTTCTTGCCACAGATTGCAGCTGAGCAGAAGATAAAACGAGTGTGTTTTTGTGACAGGAGGAAAAATGCCAGTTTTCAGCAATTTTGATATTCATTCAAGCCTTTAGAGTAGTCCAATGATCATACACAAACTGAGATATAAGGCACTTGAAATTTTTATATTATGTCACAAATACTTCTAATTCCTACAGAGCAGAGGACAAAAATTCATGTGATAAAACAAAGAGAAGCTGTATCTATGTAAATGACAACCAAAGGCAAAAAGATAACATGTACAACACAAAACTACCTGAAATAGCTTAAGTGTGACTAGCTGAAAGTATGGTTAACCAAATGCAAAAGCATCTTCTGTTTTTTCCACCAGCATTAAAATATGTCTCCCAAGTAAACAACTTGAAATTCTAAAACAGACACCAACACAAAACTGAGTAATCATCAGAGCAAGAAAAATACACTTAAGCCCTGTTTTCTTCTCATAAAAAGAATGAGAAGAGGCTTCCATTAACTGAAGGTAAAAAGAAATATTATACAGAGCATTGCAAGTTGGAGTAAACAGCATTACTGTAGGTTTCAACATGTCTTTGGAAATGCTTTTCTCTGACTTTGAAAAGTCTTCATCTGAAATAGTATGTGGAACACTAATGTATATTGAATGTTTTCTTGTGAAAATGGTATTAGCATAGTAACCCAGACAATCCTTACAACACTTTGAGAAATACACATCACGTCAGGTACTGTGCTTTATTTTCTCAGGTACTACTTACCTGTGTATCACTCAAGGCTAATTAGGAGCTCTGCTTTTCAGCAAGAACAGATGATGTCTAAGAAACTGAAACAGGGGTAAGACTCTACCCCAGTGCAAAAG